CTCATTTTAATTCTCCCTTGCTGAGCACAAGCATACCAGGTAATCCCCTGGATTTTGTGGATTTGGCAGCAAATGGCCTGTGTCACTTACATGAAGTTTATAGGGGTCCACATGTCCATGAAACAAACCCAATGTGATGGGCCTGGGATTACACAAAGCACTGCCTGCCTAGACACTAGACTCCTCTGACTTCTACTCAACACCCAGCAAAAATAGGATTTCTTTATTCACAGCTTCCTGATTTATGTTGAAAATTCTCTAATTGAACTACGGAAAGTCTCATCATTCCTAAAAAACAAAAATCTGTTTTGGTGATAGAATCATTTATTGTAACTTATGGCAATTGCTGGACATCTGAAGTTCCCCATTATTTTATTGAGTTATGCTCTCCTGCGACCTTCAGTTATTGCCAGCTGTACTCCTTTCCTGCTCTGTCAAATGCATTCTCATCACATGCATCCTACACCAGGCAAATTTTTCCATTTCCCATACACTGGTGCACTTTCCTCCCCTCTCAAATTGATCTTCTCCTTAAAGCCTTGTTTGGAGTCTCCAGTTGCAAACCTTCCTGTCTTCTTCTTAGCACAGAGCTTCCCAAATGGGGGTGATTTTGTCCCCCAGGGGACAACAGTAATATCTGGAGATATATTTCATTGTCACAACTTGGGGAAGAGAGCTACTGGCACTGAGTTGGTAGAGGTCAAGGATGCTGTTAAACATCCTACAATACACAAGACAGTCACCCAAGAAGGAATTATCCAGTCCACAATGTCATTAATGTGGAGAAACCCTTAGTCTAGTACCTTATCATTTGATGACTTGCTATAATCTTTTTCAGATTGGATGAGAACCTTTAGAAAACATCCGGTTACCCCCTGAAATTTATGGGTAAGGGAAATTGCTGAAAGTCTCAGAGTGAGCGAGTCATTGGCAAGGCTTTATCCTCTCACCTCTGGGTCTTTGAGCATTGCTACTTCATTATGCTGCTGTTTCCATTTTCCCAAATAGGTAAAAAATTTATATAATCAAGGTTAAGATTTTATTATTAAATGTGCACTCACACTCCCCTCTAGCCTCCTACCTTTTGCCAGGATCTAGGTACACAGTATGTACTTTTTGTCAGATTAAAGATTTTGTGAGATATTTTATTTTAAAAACAACTATAATTTTCTCTCCTGGATATAACCTTCCATGATGTAGATGAGTATGTCTAAGTCACAGAAAGAAGAAATTCTATAGAGACCTTCTGCGGAAGTATTTTCAACATTAATTAGAGTAAATACCAGCCAAGTGAGTCTTACACATTTAAATGATGGTGGTGAAAATTACCACCTTCAAAGCACATAAGAAAACAGGAAAGGTTTCTACTAAGGGGAATGATTAACTGAATCTTACAGAGAAACTGAAAAACAAACAAACTAAAACTCAACAAATACCAGAAAGGACATATGAATGCTTATGTATAACTTATTCTCATAAATAAATTATTTTCCTTGGAAAAAATGCAAGTATGTAATTGTTGATACAGAATTCAAAAAAGCTAAGTTAAGCAAACAATGACACAACAAGACTTTATATTGGAAAAGGAATGCTGATTGGCTCATATTCTGCCTTTCAGAGACAGAGCTATATAAGCATAAGTTCAAAAGCAGGCCTAGATGCAGCTGATCCTGGATTTGAGTTCTGGCAGGACCATGAAGCAGCTGTGTGACTTGGGAAAATGCATTAGTTCCTCAAACCCATGTCTCCTCAGCTTTGAAGTGAGGATCCAAAACAATACTTTCCAAAATATAAAATTATGAAGATTTGATGAAGGAATACAGGCAAAGTGCTCACCATAGGACTGGGCTAAATCTAAGGGCTGAATAAAGGTGGCTATTGTTACAACTACTTCCAGTTACTATCCTTTAGTTTTATTTCTGAAAAAAAAAAAAAAAAAAAAAAAAAAAGCAATAAATAAAAGAAATTTCGTTTTCTTAGAAGTGTGATGTCCACCACTTCATAGTATGGAAGAGAATTTCTGTCACATTGGAGTCCTCGCATTTAAAATAAAACAATAAGCAATGACTTTAAGATATGCCTTCAGGCTAAAGTTGGCTTAGGTCAAACCTTCCACCCTCCCTCCTCTTCTTCTTCCCTCCCTTTAACAAGGTGGGCAAACACACATATATATAACAGTAAGCAAGTAAACTACTCTTCCTAGTATTTGTTGAGTTTTTTGGGTTTGTTTTTTTTTGAGTGTGCCAAGCAGCCAGAGTTATAGAAAAGTCCGAGAAGAAAAATTTCATAGTGTGGGGCTCTAGCCCTGCTTCATTACTAAGGTAAAAGATAGCAAGGAAGTCATTTAACTATTATCTGTCAAATAAGGGGCTTAGCAGATGATTACTAAGGTTTCTTCCAGTTTTAATTACTGGATTGCATTTTTATTTCTGGAGAGCCAAATTGGAACTCAACTCAAATATGTTGTTAAAAGATGATCAACTTGTGAAAAGAGTGGAACACTGTTTTAAAAGGATATTTTACATGTAGATAGGTAACTTATTCAAGCATTACACCACATTATAAGTTTCCAAACCAGAACTGACATTTTGGAGGTGTGGCTTGTGCAGCTGGACACTTAGGAGGGATCTAGGCTTGATTTAATGCTCGCTATTGTCTCGCTATGCTTAATAATTTTTTAACAAAAGCCCTGCATTTTCATTATACATTAGGCTCTGCAAATTATGTAGCTGGTTCAGGAAGCGACTAATGATTTACCATTTAAAGGCTCTCCTTTTTGTAGCTAGAAACCCACACAAACGTCTTGTCTTTGCATCCAACCTCAGGATTTATGTTGGTTCTAGAACTGCTCTGTCTGCCAGACTGCAGGATGTGCCCAACCACCTACAGGACACAGGGCTGGCCCTTGGCTTCAAAGGGCAGACTGCATTCTTCAGGCCCTGCCACAGGTAGTGGCCCAGCTTGTCAGTGGGAATTCCCACCTGGATGCAAGTGCTAAGAAACTAGTAGACTAGGGGAAGTATTCAATTAGAAAATAAATAGTCCTTTTGATGCCGGAATTGTCAGGCCTAGTCTCCCAGCCGGGATCGGATTTCAGGCTGCAGGGCAGCGCTGAGCCCCAGCCGCTAGACCCCCACGGGTTGGTGTCTCACGAAGCCGCAGCAGGAACTTCCGCAGACGCTCAGGCAAGCAAGCGAGAAGAGACAGGTTTGTTTAGAAGAAAAAGTTTATTGAGGAGAAAAAGAGCAGAAATAAAGTGGGACTCCCAGGCCAGGGAACCAGGACTGGGAGGGGCAAGGAAGCCAAAGTAGAGTCTTGTCTTAGGGAATATATACCTTTTTTCCCTCATTATTCTAAAGCTGCCCCAGTCTCTTTGTGATTGGTCAGTTCTCGGCTGTCTCACTCAATTTGCTACTGAGTGGGGATCTTCACATTCCTTATCTAACAGCTTTCTCTTTCCCCATTTGTTGCATCTTTAAATTTATGGCCCAGTCTCCTGGATGGGATCCCTGCATTGAAGTTAAACAGCTGCCCTTCTAATGTGTCCATAAATTAAACCACTCTCCATTTCTCCAATCTCCGCCTCCCTTTACCACCTGAAGGAAACCAGGACCAGCATTAACAATGTTGTCCTTGGTCCTGGCATGTTTGTTTTTCCTAATGGAATGGGTTACTTTCCCTTGCTTGTCCTTATCTCTGAAGCCTCCCTAAATTTTTCAGAGGTCCCCTCCTGCACTATCCCTAAAACTGCCTAATAACCCTAGCTTGCCCTGTCTCACTTTGAAATTTGGAACCTCTCAGTCAGCCCCCAAAAGAGTCCCATTCTGTGGAAACCCTCAGCCTCTACCTTCTCACCCTCGCCAGGGCTGAGGGCTCAGGCCTCCTGACTACCCTGACTCAGGAGTCTCAATAGAGAGATTCCGAGCGTAAACAATTCTTGCCATGACCATTCAATTTCAAAACCCACCCTGACCTCTTCGTGTGTGCCAGACACAGAGGGCACAGCAGTGAACCAACACAATGGAGACGGGCTAATCCCAATTTATCACGGCGGCCTGACGGGTCGTGGGTTTCCTCCCTGGCCTGTGACATGGAGATACTCTTCACCTCACAGAGCTGATGTGAGGCTATAAGGAGATAATACGTCACTGGGCACTTGGGGAGAGACTTAGTGAAAGTATGTGGGCACACGATAAAAGAAAAAGGGACCAGTTGCTCCTGCAGGTATGCTGTCGTATTTTCCCTAAAAGGAGCAACTTAAAGATAGGAAGAGGAGCTCGGCAGAAGTTTAAATGATGTTCTCCTTAGTTTTCAGACGGTGGAACTTGAGGTCTAAGGCTGCGTTCCTCCTGCACTAGCACCGAGCATGCCAGCTGGATATGCCCAAGAAAAAAAAGATCATGCTCACTCTCCTGCTGTCCAAGTGGGCCGGTGCAGCGCTCCCTGCCCTGCTCTCCCTCGCGTTCTTCCCACACTCGCCGGAACCCAAGGCCCAAGGCGGGGGAGGACACGCCGCTGCCACCCGCCCTGGCCCGGGGCTCCCGCGCATCCGAGCGGCGGAGGAGGAGCCGGGTCGGAGAGGAAGCGGGCACGGCGAGAAGGGGCGGGGCGCGGCCCAGGTGGGCGGGGCCCCGAGGGGGCGGGGCCACGGGCCAACCCCGCCACCACTCTAGGAAAGGAAGTGGGCGTGGGCGGGAGAGGCGGAGCCAGATGAGGGGGCGGGGCCACGGGCCAATCCCGCCACCGCACTGGGAAAGGAAGTGGGCGTGGGCGGGAGAGGCGGAGCCAGATGAGGGGGCGGGGCCACGGGCCCACGCCGCCAGCGGATTAGGAAGGAAGTGGGCGTGGCCGTGGAGGCGGGGCGGGGCCAGGGCGGGGCGCGCGCCTGTGCGGGCTGAGCCCGGGGCTCCGCGGGGAGCAGCCCGGCCGAGCCCGGGTGGGTGGGGCCAGCGGGTCCGGTCCGTGGCGGGGCGGGACTCGCGGCGCGCAGAGGCCAAACCCGGCCACTGGGTCTGCCCGCCAGATCGAGCTGCACCGCCTGTCGGAACCCGGGACGCCGCGCCACTGGGGAGGAGGCGCAGGGACGCGGCGATGGCTCCGCGGGGACTCCCGGGGTCCGCCGCGCTCGCCGCTGCTGTCTTCGTGGGAGGCGCCGCGAGCTCGCCGCTGGTGGCCCCGGGTGAGTGGCCCCGCGGGCTGGGGCGCGCGGGAGGAGGCGCGGAGCCGGGCGGCCGTCCCGCTGCGCACCGGGGGGCCCTCGTCCTGGCGCGGCCGCGGGGTCCCCGCGCGCACCTCGGGCCGTCCGGGGGCGGCGGGGCGCGGCGCGGGGCTCCCCCCCTCCACCTCTCGCCGATTCCTCCGAGGACCGGTTCCCCTCCTCCCGCACCCCTGAGCTGTCAGGGGTGTAGGGATCCGGCCTGGTCTTGTCTTCGTGGGGTGCGCTTCCGCCCGGGGGGTGGGGGAGCCCCTGGGACCCCCGGGGAGCCCCGCAAACCCCTTTCCAGTCCTCAAAGGCCCCGCGAGCGGAAGACCGTGTGTGGCACCGGGGACCGGGTGCGCTGTCACCGCCGCCCGCCCTTTTAAAAATACGTATCCTAAAACCTTGGGGAGTTTCAATTTCTTTCCTTTCCAAGTTTCCATTTATTTTAATGGTTGATGGAGCCTTGGAACAGGTTGGGGACTTCAGATTTCTTCCCGCGTATTGTGGATCAGTCAGGCTAGGAAGAAGGGGAGACGTGTTTGTAAACTTAGGTGTTTTTTTTTTTTCCTTCTTTGAGTCACCACAAAAGGAACTCTTTGGCCACTTTTTGTGGTCGACGCAGGAAGCCACCCTAGAGATGATGTTGTCTCCAGCGCTGAAGTTGGAGCAGGAGTTTGCAGTGAAATCTAAGAGGAGGTGTAACTTTCAAAGTTCCTATCTCACGCTTGTTTTTATAACAATAGACACCAGGGATTCTTACCACTGTTCCCCCTTTTAATTGCCATCTTACTGTAGCAGTTTAAAAAAATAATAAACGTATACCCTCTTGGCCAATTGGGGTTACCACAGCCCGGAGTCTTACGTCAGCAAGAGCTTCTTGAGCAGCTCTGCTTTAGGTTCAAATAATAAGCTACTGGAAGCCTTCCAAGGGGACTGTCTCCTCCATAAAAGCCCACGCTGTTCTTCACTTGCAAGAAGGTTCCAGTAGTTTGCAGCTTTTAAATGGCCTTTTCATGTTGGCCCTCACTTTTTCATAGAAACCAGAACGTGTTAGGAAGGGATGGAATGGGGTGGATAATGTCTCCTGAGTCGTTATTAAACAGAACGGTATTTCCTTCAGCTGCCTGGGGAAATAGCAACTGGTGACATGTTTTATGGAAGGGAGATTTTGGTTTTCATCCTGTTTCACAACTGAGACAGGTAGGCGCATCATCAGTTTCAAATTGGACCTGAGGTTTAGGCAGTACTTATAGGGCTAGAGTCAGTTGAAGATTTTGAAGAGCTTAACCTGGGAATAAAATAGTTAAAACATTCAGCATATAATATATGTCATTTGTGGGAGAAATCCATCCCTCCAGCAAGTTTGTGTTCCAGTGGATCTCTGAGCCACTCACAGCTCTCAGGACTGGAATGCCATGAGGAAAGCGCTCATCTTATACACAGTAACCTTTTTGATGAAAGGTAACAGGTTAGAGGGAACTGTCTAAAAAGCAAAGGTTACAGAGTACACATGTGCCAGTGTGACTTGGGGCCTGTATGGAGAAAGGTGCCTTGATCAGCCAACATTTGATCCCCTTAGACCTTAAATAAGAGGGTGTTAATGTTTGCAAGGAGTCTTTTAGGGAATTGGAAAGATGGGATGTAATGTTGAGTGCCTACTATGTGCCAAGCTTTGAGTTGAGCATGTCACATGTATTTTTACACTTACTTGTCATAACCCTAAGAAGTTCTTCCCAGAGGCAGATGAGGCGCAGAGAGGTTAACGACCTATTCAACCTCATATAGTGTGAGAGTCAGCATTCAGTCTGAGAAGCAGAACCTTTAAGAGGTATGTGTATCTTTATCTTTGATAACCAGTCTGCTTGATTCCAAAGTTCACCTTCTTCCCGCTGTACCCCACTGCTTTCCAGAGAGAAGACAGAATAGAAATCCGGCTCAGCATTCTTGATGAGATTCTTAGATAGGGAGTGGGTTGGGACATCATAAAATAGCATGTGGTTATCAAAAGTTGGGAAGACAGAGGAAAGCACAGATGACTTCACAGTGGGTAGTGGTGATGTCTCTTTACTTCTTGCTCAGTAGAAGAATCTCATTAAGCTTATCTTTTTGCAGTGGCATTTGAAACTGGATTCCACAAGTACCAGAAAGGATGATTTTCCACGTCTTGGTTTACTGATGTCCTCAAGTTCTCTGGTTATTCAACCCTTAGGCTTATTAGTTTTATTTATTTTCTAGACAGTGGGTGTGGCCCTTTTAGTAAGGAGTGGGAGGGAAAGTATAAGAAGTGCACTTACTCTTCTTGGGCTCTGTGGGCTTCCAGCCAGGCTTCTGACTCCTCATTTCCACGTTAAAGATAGACTTCATTAAATCCTGTGTCCTCCTGTTGGCCAGGTGGCTGCCTAGGTGAGCATCCACAGAATGCAGGGTGGAGAGGATGTTTCGAGAGAGCATCGCAGGGGCTTGGGTTTCTATGCCTACATTAAATTTAAAGAGGAAATGAAAAATTTGAAAAGTGCCCTGTTTCCCTCCCTCCTTCCACCCAAAAGAAAGGAATCAAATAAACTATTTTAGTTTCAGCTGTTGGATGTTTTTTTTAAAGATTTATTTATTTATACAAGCACTGGGTACAGTCAGAAGCGTGGGAGGGTGAGAGGATTCACCAGAGCCAGAGCGGGGAACAGAACAGGCAGACTTGATGAAGTGCACTGCGGAGGGAGCAGCGGGCAGCAGGAGAGGTCTGTGCGCCATGTGGGACCCTCCTCCAGTGGCCGGGGATGGAACTGGCACTGCAGAGGCTGTGGGCACCTTTGCAACCCAGTGCTCAACCGCTGCGCCACAGGGGAGGCCCTCAGCTGTTGGATTTGAAGGAGGCCCAAGTCCCAGGTGCAGAAACAAAAAATTTCATTGTCTGTTTTTATAGACTTGTTTGGCTCTGATACTGGTTTTGTTACATCTTGGGGCAAAAGAGAAAATATTTAAATGACTCAAAATGATTTAAATTGTAAATGGTTACAAAACTATTATTTTGAGTGGTTTCTAATAATTTTAGGAGAGTTACTTGAGGAGTTGCTAAAGATTTGGTGGGCTGCTGAAAGCAGGTAGGAATAGTAAGTCTTGTGTGGCTACCAAGGACTTGAATCAAAATTTGGAATTAGTACATTGTCAGCATCTTAGTCTTTTTTGGAGGAATGAATGCAGTGTTCATTAGACCTGTTTTGGGGGCAGGTTCTGCCTTATGTTCTCAGATCATTTCACTCTTATAACACTTGGTCAGTTATATAATTTTATTCCTGTATTTATAGATGGGAAAACTGTCTGTGAGAAGTTAACTTGAAAAAGTCTCTCAAATATGTAAGTTGGATTTTGACTTTGTGTTCAATCTGTTCATTTCTCAAGCCTATCATTATTATAAAATCATTTTGTTTTTCTTTCAAGTGAAAATTTTCTTTTTATTCTATGGCATTATAAAGAATCATTAAAGTAATGGCACTTAGTAATCACTAAGGAAAGGGCACCAAGCTTTATGTAAGAGCTCTGGACTTAACCTCAAAAGTCACCAGCAGCCCCCACCATTTCTGGAGGGTGCTCTCTCTGATCCCCTACCCTCACCTGTAAAATGGGCCTGTGCCATCTCCTGTCCTTATCTGCCTGGCTGGCTGCTAGTGATCAAATAAACTCTGAAAAGTCTTGGCAAATGGCAAAGTGGTATATATCCTTTGTCCTGTATATCTTTTTCTGTAGTTCCTCTCCAACGTGTCCATTAGACTTGACTTATAGTGTCAACCAAACTACCTAGTACTTGTAGACCACATGTACTATAAGGTTTTCATTCTGAAGATGGTGCTGCTTTTGTAATGAGGGCTGCCTGGTGGCCTACAGGATTAAGTCTCAGCCCTATCAACACTGTGACCTAAGTTCGATCCCCAGCCAGGGAGCTGACCCACATATGGTGCAGCAGACCTCTCCTGTCTCGCCCACTGCTCCCCTCAGCAGTGTATTTCAGTACATCTGCCTGTTCGGCTCCCCACTCTGGTGTCTGATGAATCTTCTCACCCCTGTACCTCTGCCTACACCCAAGTTCTATGTAAAAATAAAATTTAAAAAATAAAAAAAAAGCGTCATTGTGAATTTATACATGAAAGCCCTGAGTGACAGCTCAGATACACGAGTTTCTTGCTGCTGTTGGGAGTTCAGGAGGCAAGCCTTCTCTTCCTATGTTCCCTCAGTTAAAAGACAGTGCACTTGATATTTATAGACAATTCCCTCCAAATTTAAAGTTTGAAGGAATGAGAATTACCGTTGATCTCATTGTTCCAAATCACTTGCCCCTATTAGCATATTTCATTCTGGTTTTCTCTATATGCATTTTTTTTTTTAACTTGGATAGGCTCATAATACAAATATAACGTTGGATCCTGCCTTTTCACCTAGTGTTATACATAAAGCTTTCTCCAGGGCCTCCCCGGTGGCGCAGCGGTTGAGCGCTGGGTTGCGAGGCTGCCTGCAGCCTCTGCAGCACCGTTTGATTCCCGGCTGCTCCCTGGCCACCGGAGGAGGGTCCCACATGGCGCGCAGACCTCTCCTGCCGCCCGCTGCTCCCCTCAGCAGTGTATTTCTACGTCAGTCTGCCTGTTCTGTTCCCTGCTCTGGCTCTGGTGAATTCTCTCACCCTCCCGCGCTTCTGACTTACCCAGTGCATGTATAAATAAATAAAAAATAATAAAAAAATAAATCTTTAAAAAAAAAAAAGCTTTCTCCATTTCCCTACACACTCAAAAAATATGGCTGCATAATAACACCCCATGATATGGATTGAATGTACTACCTCACTGTGTCTCCAATCTAAGTGATTTCGGTTGTTGCTAATTATGTTTAAATGGTTTTAAAACTGCTTCAGTACTTAGCTTGGTTTTCTGTTCTGTCTGGATATTCATGACTTCCACAGAAAATGGATTCTTGAAAAGGCAATTTTGGGATCA